CTGTCCCTGCCTGTCCCTGTCCCCTGTCCCTGTCCCCTGTCCCTGTCCCTGTCCCCTGTCCCTGCCTGTCCCTGTCCCCTGTCCCTGTCCCTGTCCCCTGCCCCTGCCTGTCCCTGCCCACCGGCCCTGCCAGCTGGTTCCTGGCAGGGTCTCTCTGCCTCGCCTTGCTCCCCCCTTCCCGAGGGGCTGCCATCCCCGGCGGGGACACCCAGCATCAGTGTTGCCTGTCCCCTGTCCCTGCAGGTGGCTTTCTCTGTCTGGCTGGTTCCTGGCAGGGTCTCTCTGCCTCGCCTTGCTCCCCCCTTCCCGAGGGGCTGCCATCCCCGGCGGGGACACCCAGCATCAGTGTTGCCTGTCCCCTGTCCCTGCAGGTGGCTTTCTCTGTCTGACGACCAGGAGCAACCCCTCCAATCTGCGGTACAAGGCGGAGCTGGAGGCAGCGCTGGAGCGGCTGGAGAGGCAAGGGGCCTGGCAGAGGGTGCTAGCCCAGGAGGTGGACTGCTGGGAGAAGGCCACCTCTGAGGAGGAGAGCACCCAGGGCACCGGCTACATCTCTGGGGTGGTTTACATCTATCAGAAATGCCCCATGCTCCCCCTCGAGGAGGGCTGAGAGCTGGTGTGGCTCTGGAGAGCAGGGGTTGAGCACCTGACCCCTTTGAAAACCCAGCGACCACCTCCCAGGGCAGGGCAGCTGCTGGGGTGTGACAGTGTTTTGAGGGAGCATCTCCATTCCCTTCCCAAGCTCCTTCCCCCTCAAGTCTGGGCTCTGGGGGCCTTGCTGGGCCCCCAGCATAGGTGGGTCTCCTGGTTTTACCAAGGTCTCCTGGGCAGCACCATTAGCTCTGACATTCAGGTACTGTCCCTGACACCTTGGCCCTCACCAGTCACCAGACTGTTCAGAGCCATCTCCTGTCTGGGATATCTTCTCCCTGCCTTGCCCACTCTCGGCCCTCATGGTCAAAAACTTTATCTTCCCCACTCTACACCCCCATGGTCTTTACCTGGGGACTGTGGGAGGTGGGTCCCCTTTGCCATTTCCTCATCCTCCCCAGAAATGAGCCCAGTGCACCCTGAGGTGCAGGAGACCTCTACATCCAAACCAGGAGCAGCTGTGCCAATGTGATACCCAGACAGAGAAGCTTTCCAAGCACCACATCAGCCTTTCATCCTGCAAAAACTGCTTAAGTTTCTCATTTTCCTACACCTTTGTAGTTAGTGGTCTGGGTGGGAGATGGGGCTGGAAGAGACTTCAGGAGCCAGTGGCTGTTCTCACCCAGAAGCAGCCTGGCCCGCCTGTTCCACAAGCCCCTTGCTATGCTGCCTCCACACCCCTTTCCTCGACTGCTCCCTTGGGAAGTTTTTTATCCAAATCTCTTGCTGGGATACTTCCTTTTTTCCTTTTCTCTTCCGTGAGACTTGTCCCTGCTTGTCTTGTTCCCATGGCCTTGGGGAATGGGTTACTTCTTTCCTCACAAGCTTTTCCCATCCCCCCACCCTGGGCATCCCACATCTCCCACACGCCCTCCCCATGGCTCTTGTCACCCTCCATGTGGCCTCCTCGGGTCCCTGCAGCCACTGGGGGTAGCTGCCCTGCTCCCCTCTTGCTGTTTGTCCCCAGCACTGAACGCTGGGCAGCTGGGGGTTGTGACTGTCCCCCACACTTGGCTGTTGAATAAAGCCCCTGTCCCCATTACCTGCCTGCCTTCTGTGTGTCACTCTTGGCTCTCAGCCCTCTTTCCCTGTCTCAGTTTCCCTGCTGGGGGACAGACAGGGAGCATCCTAACTGGCCACAACCACATCCTCACAGGAACATAGGGATATGCCAGGCACTGCTGAGGCAGCAGCCCCTGAGCTGGCAGGGCATAACACCCATAGGACATTTCACCATCCTCCCCACACGGCGCTGCTTCAAGATGAGCCCAGGCAGCTTTGATGGCACCAAGATGTTTATCGTCCATCATGAGCACGGCCCTTGCACCAGGGAGGGGACATGCAGGAGGAGTGTGCTGGGGGAGCAGTCAGCATGGGGACAGGCAGGAGGAGGCAGCACGTGGGCAGGGGGTGGCATGTGGAGGCAGGATTGGGATGATGGTGCTCTCCTGTGGGCTGGCACCCAGGCATGGTGACTCACACATAATCTTGCATGGGGTAGCCCATTGGGCCATAGGTTTTCGCTGCTCTGTACTTGTTGGGGTAGGAGTCCTGCTGGGATGGGGGTCCTGAGCAGCACAGGATGCCCCCACCAAAAAGCTGGAGAGCACTGGAGGCCCAGCCAATGTAGAGGGCAGCCCCCAGCTCTCTCTTGAGAGCCTCAGGAACCATGGGGTTGTAGAAGTTGCTGACGATGCTGTTAGCAGACCAGGAGACAGGGATGAGCAGCAAGATGCTGGCCAGGACGAAGATGATACCTGCCCCAATGGAGATCCTGGTCTTGCTGCCCTTGTCATCCACGCAGTGGGTGCAATCTGCACCTGAGATGGCAGTGAGGAAGGCAAAGCAGGCGACAAAGATGGAGGTTACGACCAAGGCACGAGCCACTTGCAGGTCAGAGGTGAGCTCCAGCAGGGAGTCGTAGACCTTGCACTGCATCTGCCCAGTGCTTTCGTACACACAGTTCATCCACAGGCCTTCCCAGAAGACCTGGGCCACCACGATGTTGGAGCCAATGAAGGCCGTCACCTTCCACATGGGCAGCACGCAGGTGAGGATGGAGCCCAGCCAGCCCAGCACGGCCAGCATCAGCCCACCCAGCTGCAGCGTCATCACAGCCATTTTCAGCACCTGCAGGGATAGGGCACAGAGTCACGGGCACAGCCCAGAGCTGAGGGGCTTGCTGGAGAGCATGGACTTCATGCTGGTGTGTCCTGGGCCCCATGGGGTGGGAACAGTTGCAGACCAGCATGAGGACACATATGGCATGAGGTAATGCTGCAGAATGGCATGGGGACAAGTGGCATGGGGCAGTGCTGCAAGACAGCATGGGGACATGTGTGGCACTGTGAGCACCTGAGTTCCAAGGAGGCTGAGATGCAGGACCCCCATTGCAACATCCTCAGGGCTCAGGGCTGCCCTCTGCTATTTCCCAGCCCAGCTGCCCTATGTGCATGGCAAGGGAGGGGATTCCTGTCAGGGAGCAGGACAAGGTGCCCATCCTGGCATGCTCCGAAGTGCAGACACCCCCCACCCACCTGCTCCCCCCACATCCTTCCATGGCAGCCCCAGACTGTGCTCACCCCACACCTGATGCTGCAGCTTCCTTACCCTCCCTGCAGCACCGACTGCTCCCAGCCAAGGCCAGGCTTGGCTTTGCCCTTGCAGCCGTGCTGCAGTGCCCTTTGGACCCAGGATTCCTCTCTGGGGTGCTGGAGATGGGTCAGAGCTCAGGTTTGCTTCCAACATGGCTGTGGTGCTCAGCAATTTCAGTGATACCTGCTCCTCCTTCACACAAGGAGCAACACTGAGAGGACAAACCCCTGGCAAGGAAGGGGTTGTGGAGCATGGGATCACTGTGGGCATCACTCCTGCAAGTCCCAGATAAGAGGGATGGCTGGTACAGGGGGACACACCAGACACACTGATGGCTCTACACATGGCTTCCATGGCCCAACTCGCTACTCAGCCCCCACAGAGCAGAGCCCCCACGCTGCCATGGGGCAGAGTGCACCCATGGGTGCTGACACCCGTGCTTGGCAGCCAGGACCAGCCGAGTTTTTATGAGCCCCGAGCAGCAGGGCGGTATCGGCTGTGCCCGGCACGCCCCGCGGCACAGAGGGTTTACTGCTTTCTCTGGTCCCAGTTTCAGTTTCTTCAGCCTCTCCTGCCTCGTGATATCCTCTCTCCTTCCCCTTTCTCAACAGTCAACATCCCCTTTGGGCAAAAAATAAAGTGTTTCTCTCCCACAGAAAGGGAGATCAAGCCTCCTGGGAGCTCAGGGAGCCAGGACAATGGGAAGCTGTCCCGGGCACCCTTCCTGGCTAATGTGACCTGCACCACAAGAGACACCCAGACCGGGGCACACAACAGTCAGCAGCAGGGACCAGCTGTTCCCTGTCGGTTCCGGCAGGGATGCTCATCCCAGCATCACGCCCACATTTCTACCTGGTCACTGGCACCACAGGGCCACAGGAGCATTTTCCACCAGTCCTGCTTCCAGCAAAGGGGCAGGGAAGCTGCGAGTCCTCAGGCCCTGAGACTTGGATGAGGCACCCAGAGCCTCGCACTCGCCAGGCAGCTGGTGTCACCTCCCCATCCCTGCACACCCTGAGGTGCGAGGGAAGGACGTTCCCAAGCTGGTGCAACAACTGCTGAGCCCCGGCACAGCTTGTCTCGCCGGAAACAAG